TCTATCTATCTATCTATCTATCTATCTATCTATCTATCTATCTATCTATCTATCTATCTATCTATCTATCTATCTATTCTATCTTCTATCCATTCATATCTATCTATCTAAATCTATCTATCTATCTATCTATCATCTCTCTCTCTCTATCTTCTATCCATCCATATCTATCTATCTTCCCTCTATCATCTATCTGTCTATCTGTTTATTTATTTTCTATCTCCTATCATCTATATCTAAACTTGGGTGTTGCCTGATTCCAGTCGACTCTGACCATTAAAGCCAGTCAGGTGGGAGCCCTACAGGACTCTAGAATTAAAACCCAAAGCCCAGCTGGATTAACTGTGTTTCTGTCACACCAAGCATGATATTTACACAATTTTTTAACATTAGATTGAAATCTTGGCTCTAAGCAGTCTGACCAATGGGGCAGAATTGGGATACTTATGAACATTGGAAAAGAAGATCAACTCCCCTTTTTTACTCCCCCTCCCCTTCCATGGCTGCTGCCTACCGTCTGGGAAGTCCGGGTGACACAGCTGCAAGTCTTTGCAAGTCCGTGCTGGGTTGTGCTGGGTGCCCAGCGGGTGTTTCATCTGCTCGATTTCCAGTTTCAGAGAGTTCAAGGAGCCAAAGATCTCCTCCATGCCATCTGTGTAGTCCACATAATTGTCGGAATTGACGTCATCCATCAGCTGGCTGGCATCGATGTTCCTCCGAGTCCGTTTGGAGGACTGGATGGGAAGAGGTTGGATCACCTCTCCTGGAGGACCCTGGATAATGGGAGAAGAACAGGGGCTTGGCTTGAGCGATGCCACACCACAGAAGCAGACTCAAACTGCTGACCACCTGGGAAACGTCTCAGCCGCAGCACTTACAGGAGGTCCTGGTAGGCCGGGATGACCAGTCTCGCCCTTTGGACCTGTTGTCCCCTGGGAAGAAAGAGGAACAGAGAAGAGATGGCCGGTTAAGGAGGTGCCAATCTCAAAAGAGCAGCTGCCTCCCGTGCCCCATTTTGCCCAGCAGAGCTGCAGGAGGCGTCGGTCCCATCCTCCCCCCACCCCCGCCAGCCTGCAGAGGACTTTAATGCTGATGTGGCCCTGGAAGAAATCCAGTTTGACACCCTGCTTTAGGAGATGATATCACACCATCTCCAGAGTCATCAAAGGAGCAATGTCTTGAAGGGGGATGTGGATGATGGGAGGGACAAAGACATGAAGGAAGCTGGAAAGACAAGAAAGGGACAGAGAGCTTCACTCCCCCCTCCCCCTCCATCCTCATGGCATCATGTGGACTGCAATATTATGATTAATAGCAATAAAACATTTTTTCCCTTTGATAGATTTGATTTTTGTACTTACGGAAGATCCTTTAGCACCTTTTGGACCAGGGGGGCCCTAGTGGAAAGACAGAAGAGCTTGTTACCAAAGTATTCATTAAGAAAAACTAAGGAGCCCGTCCCCCAGGCCAGAACCCCTGATTAGCAGTACGAAGATCGTCACAATTGTATAGTAATTAACGTGTTCAGCACATCAGTCTGAGGCTGAAATAGCCATTTGTATACCCAGAATTCATATTATACTTCCGAATAAACATACAGTATTTATCTTTCTGAAATCACTGAAATGTCAAATTACGTTTATTATTCTGCAGTACTGCAGGTTATTTCTGCTGGCTGCCGGTTGCCAGAGGTTTGGCAGTTCGATCCTGACCGGCTCAAGGTTGACTCAGCCTTCCATCCTTCCAAGGTGGGTAAAATGAGGACCCAGATTGTTGGGGGGAAATGGCTGATTCTGTGAACTGCTTATAGGGGGCTGGAAAGCACCGTGAAGCAGCCTATAGGTCTAAGAGCTATTGCCATTATATGAGGGGGGGGGGGAACCACATGTTCATTTATTGGACTGACGTCCCAGCCTCTTTGCTACTCACCGGCAACCCTGGGGAACCAGGTGGGCCAAGAGGGCCAGATGGACCTTGAATGCCCTTGAAGGAGGAGAGAGAGGAGAAAATCAGTCCTTGCAAGACCTCCTTAATCTTCAGCTCCAGTAGCTTCAGCTCCATCCTCGTGGGGGGCAGGAGGGGGGCGGGAGGGGGGCGGGAGGGGGCAGAAGGACCAAGGGGTTTTGCACCCGTGCCCTCCATGGTCTACCTGTTCTCCTTTAGGTCCCGATCCTCCTTGAGGTCCCGGCAGTCCCCGATCTCCCTTTTCTCCTTGCTCGCCGGGAGGCCCAATGAGACCAATCAGTCCGGGATGACCCTGGAAAAGGCAAGGGGATCATTGCAAGGACTCTCTGTGCCAGGATGAGAGAAGCCATTCCCAGCTGGCTTCAGGAATTCTCTTCCCAGGCCGGGATGTCATCTTGAGAGTTAAGCTTCAAATTCACCGGCTTCTTTGGAGGTTCGTTTTTGCCCTGATTCTGGACCACGCCCATCTCTTAATGCCGAGAACTCACCTTTTCTCCCTTTGGACCCGAATCCCCTTTCAGGCCAGGTAAGCCAGGTGGCCCCTTTGAAGAGAAAGAGAAGATAGGCGCTAAAAATCAGGCACCTTGTTCAGCCACTTTTTCTTTCTTTTTAGATTCAGGGGAGCCCAATGAATTTGGGAGAGGAAAATTGAATTTGGACTGATGCTAACACATTTCTGAGTCTTCCCTTTTCAGGCGGCCAAAGAGTGGCCACCTCCAAACTGCCCTCTAGCTCCGTCCAAGGGGGTCAAGGTAAGGACGCAAGCTCTTTTGGGAGGGAGGGATTGGCCAGACAAGATGGTCTGTGGAGGACAGAGACTGCTTTGGATCTGGGGCTGCAGCCACACACCCCCACCCCCCATGGAGAGGCAGATCTTCATGCTTGAACCAGGGGAGCTGAAGGGGTGGGGGCTGGGAGGGGGCCGACCTTTGCTTTCAGAACCACAGCAGGAAAAGCACAATTCCCAAAATGTCAAGACCTACCATGGGGCCAGGAGGTCCATCTGGGCCTGGTGAACCTGGAAGCCCTTGCTCACCCTAGGAAACAACAGACACCATTAGCTCTTACGGCACATTCTGAGTTAGTAGGAGAAACAGATAACTAGGGTGGGAGATACTCGTACATCTCCCACATTCTAGAAGAATCAAGCAAGGCATGGAGAGTGCTGTGGCCTGCCAGTGGCCAGCAGGGCTGGCAGCAGAGTCAGACAGTGAGGAAGTTGGGGAGGAAGATGGGCCAGTCCTGGAGTCTGGGGAAGGCCCTGATGAGGGCTCTGCGTTGGAGGGAGAGAGGGAGCCAGGGCCGTCTGACAGTTAGCAGCTGCCTTTGGAGTCGGAGACCAGTGGGGCAGAAGAACAACTGGAGCCTGTTTCTAGTGTGCGCATGTGCATAGCTTCTAGGAGAAGGGAACAGCTAAGGAACAAGGGCCTACTTGGGCATAAAGGCACAAGTGGATGGTGAATGGCCCCTCCCAGAGGAAATAAAAGAGGAGCGAAAGGGGAGTGGAGTTTGCAGGAGACCATTAGTTCGCTTAATTAGTTTGTGACTCTCTGAGGCTTTTTTAGTTCATTCGTGCATTCTTGCCAAGTATTGTGGTGTCTGACAGATATCGGCCTGGCCCCTCCCCAAGCCTGATCAAGGCCGGTAATTGGGAACTCTCTTGAAAGACTGTGGGAGAGGAAAGACTTTGCTGGAGAGGGATTCACTGTAAATTAAATAAAAGGGGTTTATCGGGACGAGGACTCGGCTCCTTGCTGCTGGGAAAGCCTCGGTCAGAACAGAGAGTGATATTTTTAGGTTACATTTCTACCCCACATATTTGTTTCAAAGAGGATGGTAGCCAGGGGTGAAATCCTACTGGTTCAGACCGGTTTGGGAAAATCGGTAGCGAACATTGGGCCTGGGTCGCTTGGTTAGAGACAAAGAAAAAAAGAGAAAGAAAGAGAAAGAAAGAGAAAGAAAGAGAAAGAAGGAAAGAAAGAGGAAATGAGACAGAGAGAGAGAGACAAGAAGGAAAGAAAGAAAGAAAAAGAAAGAAAAAGAGAAAGGAAGAAAGAAAAAGTGAAAGAAAGAAAAAGAAAGAAAAAAGAGGAAAGGAGAGAAAGAGAGAGAAGAAAGAAGGAAGGAAGGAAGGAAGGAAGGAAAGAAAGAAAGAAAGAAAGAAAGAAAGAAAGAAAGAAAGAAAGAAAGAA